TTTTTTTTTTTTTTTTTTTTTGGCGGGATGGCGACGACCCCTGACTGGTAGGTGCCGACCAGCCGATCGGTCAGAGGGTCGGCAGCTGACCAGTCAAGGGCCGCCGACCGTCAGGGGGTGCAACAATGCTGTTGACACCACTTGATCGGTAGCCCGAGTGACTTGCCGAATATTTACTGTGTTAAAATCCGGGCCGCCCGGCAGCCCAGCCTTCCTCCGGCAAGGGTCCCGGGCGGCCTGGCCGGTTGGGTCCCCCGTTTGGCGCCGGACGGGCCCAGCACAATTTCGCACGGGCGGAGCAGGGGGGCGGAGGCCTTTTTGGCTAGTGGCAGCCTCCCCAGCCCCCAGGAACACTTCGAAACATTAAGTTTCGATTCTCTGCCGCCAACAAACCACCTCGCAGGCTCGTTTCCCCCCTTTGGTCGCCTACGACGCTGCGTTCGAATTCGAACGCGGTATTCCCCACTTCGCTGCCGTCATGAAGCCCGCCCATCGTTGTTGCTCCTCCTTGTCGAGCTGCCCATCGAGCAGCCCTCCCCATCGTCACCATCTCGAAGCCTGCCCAAAGCTCGGTCGTCGTCGCTGCCATCTCGAAGCTCGCCCGTCGTCGCCATTGCTGCCGTCTAGAAGCCCGCCCGTCGTCACTCCCCGTCAAGCAGCCCTCCCCGTCGTCGCCGCCCGTCAAGCTGCTGTCGCCATCGTGGTGAATCCGCCTCCAACTCCTTTCCTCTTCTTAGTCTTCCTCTCCTCCTTTCGTCTTCTTCTACTCTCCACCTCCTTTCCTCCTTTTCTTCTCCTCCTCCTCCTCCTCCTCCTCCTTTCGTTTTCTTCTCTCCTCCTCGTCCTCGTCCTCGTCCTCCTCCTCCTCCTCCTTTCGTCTTCTTATCTCCTCCTCCTCCTCCTCCCCCCTTCTTCTTTTCTCCTCCTCCTCCACCTCCTCGTCGTCCTCCTTTCTCCTCCTCCTCATCTCCTTCTCCTCCCGTCTTCTTTTTCTTCTCTCCTCCTCCTCCTTTCGTCTTCTTCTCTCCTCCTCCTCCTCCTCCTTTCGTCTTCTTCTCTCCTCCTCCTCCTCCTTTCTTCTTCTCTCCTCCTCCTCCTCTTTTCGTTTTCTGTCCGCCTCTTCCTCCTCCTCCTCCCAATTTCATTGGTTTTGTTTGGTAGGCGAAGTGCCACGTGGCAACAGCAGTGCGCTTAAAACTGCCACGTCTCCGGATTT